TTACCTGGCTCAGAAATTTTCAATTTGGGGGTGACATAGTGAATGAAAGCTTTGAGAAGGGAACATTTCCTTTACTTGAATAAAATCCCCAAGGAATACACACAGGGTGAAAGCTGGGAAAGTCTTATTTTGGGGGGAATAAAAATTTGTCTTTGAAAGGAACACAGTGTTCAGTTAGGCAGGATACTGTGTTGTAAGATGTTAGTGCTCAGCAGCCACATGTGGTAAAACAGGGCATGCGTGACAGAAAGTTCGGGCCCCTGAGAAAGTCACTGCCAATGCCTGTTCGGGGAACCCTCTGTTGTGAGAGTGACTTTATTGCTTTTGTGTGTGTTTTTTGAGAATTTCACTTTAGTGGTGCTTTAGAGCAATGCAGAAAATAATTTCATTTTCTGCATATTAATGATGAGACTAAACAGGAGATGGAAAGAAGCAGCATGGTGATGTTAGTGAAAATCTAAGTAAGAAAAGCAGCCCTCAAGGAACAAAGCGTTCCCTGTCAGACTCTTCACACGTGTTGTCTTCCACCTGTTTTCTCCTTATTTTATCACTTCTCTCATTTTTATCATGGCATCTAAGACCGGAGACAGGTGGGGACTGAGTTCCCCCGGCTAATAACTAGAAGAGCTGGGAGTGGAATCCAAGTCTATCTCACTCCACTGTCTATACTGCGGGTCCAATGACCCCAAGCCACCTGCACCTTTTCGTCTAGAGATGCTTTCGCTCACTGCTCACCCTCTGGAGCAGTTTGTGTTCTGAATGATTAAAGTTTGTGGAGAAAAGTGCATCTAAGCCCGTAGGTTATCAGGCATCAGACCTGAACTTACAAGTTTCCAGCAATAAATATTCACAAGGACCTCCCAGATGACAGCACCATGCATCATGCTTGTTCCAAATGAACTTTTTGAAAAACAGCATTATGGCAATAAAACATTTGGCTTCGAGGAGCTGCCCTACCAGGGCTAAGACAAATCTACCTGAGACATTAGGTAGCAGTCCCAGACTGAGCAGGAAAATGGAAATGACTCACAGTATTCCCCACTGAGGGAATTAATAATGGAGTTGGCTTTATGTGTGGGGAAGAGTTGAGAAGTCAAATAGGTGACTGGGAGGTAACCCAAGTGTTAGCTAAGCAGGAGATCCTTGGATAAAAGGACAGGGGGATGGGAGGCATGACCGGAGCCTGGCGTCCTGGTGGAAGCTGGTACGCAGGAGTGCCTCCAGGTCCTAGAGGCATGACCCCGGATAGAAATGCTCTCCGCCTCCCACACCAGCCAGAGGCCAGAGAAATAAAGAAAAGAATTTCCTCTTCTAAATGATTAAGCAGTAGTAGAAAAGAAATGGTACGGTAAGATTAGTGAGATGACCAAAGCAAGAAAATCAGCTCTAAAAGCAAAACCAGGGCCAGAGAAGCTTGGGAAACACTCTGCGGGGCCCAGCCCCCTGTGATGCAGAGCAGCACAGGAGAAGCAAAAAACTGCCTGGGAACAAACAGTCCCAGGGCTGGCACAGCAAGGTGGGCAAGTGGCCATAGAGAGGGGGCAGGGCTGCCACATGCACCGCTAGGGTCCTTTAACGCTGTTCCTAGTCCATATCCTCATAGACTCTTCCTGTCGGGCTACAGGCAAAGAAAGCAGACCCTAGGTTAGCATGGGGTGAGCCTTCACTCATGCTTGCTTGTTTGCTTTCTGAGACTGCCCATGATTTTACCTGTAGTCAGAAAATACCTATCACAGATAAGCCCTAGAAGGAATAACTCCCCTCCTATTAAATTTCATACATTTCAACACATCAATCATGTGTTGATAAAAATTCTCCCTCCCTACCTGGGCATGAAAGAATCCAAACTGGGCTGTGAAAATGTGCTCCTAAAAAGCTAAGCAGTGAGGACAGATAAAGGCAGAGGTATTCAGCTTTCTCTCTGCTTTTCTTGGCTTTCTCTCCTGAAGACTTCCCTCAGGATTGACCATAATTGGTTTTTGTTTGTTTCTGGAGAGGGGATGTATTCTACTGCTTTTTATTATGTTTATATTACTACTGAAAAGGAGAAACAGTAAGGGAAAATATTCTTTTTGGCACCAGAGCCAATGCAGAAATACTAATCAGGAGATGAAAAATATGAATTTAGTCTTCATTACAAGAGGCACAATAACTCCCCAGTAGATTATAATGAGGTATGAGGCTCTGTAATAGGCCTCGTGAAAAACCATATTCAGGCCTTTTTGAAAGGGGGTAATTCTTTTTCATGGGAGTATTTGCTCTCAGAAGCCTTTTGCAAGGCACAACATTTTTAAGCCAAGAAGTAAGAATAACAAGATAGATTGGGACACAAAGCTCATGGCAGAACTCTGGCAACCCAGTGCAATAAATGTCAGATAAGTCCAAATCCAATTTAATTCAAGCATTTAACACAAGCATATTGTGTGCAGACAACATGCAAGGCTAAAGTAGAAGATGCTGATAATGTGCCTGATCTCATGAGCTCTTCGGAAAGCAAAACTTCCATGGGTTAAACAATTAATGAGAGAATATGTCAATAAATAAATGCAACAACATACTGGACTGCAAATTTCCCTTTTCTCATTACAAGTAAGGAAGTCTCTAGGAGGTGGGGGCAGGGTATAGTCAATATTTTAGTGAAAATGATATGCTTTCAAGCATGGGCTTCTTCTTGACCCCTAGCTCAGCCAGCCTCTCTAGACTATTGCAAAATAAGTGGATATTTTTTCCATAGGAAAGAAAAAAGATTACTTCGGAAGTTAACCCCATTGTCATCTACTCTAGACCACACATGCCTGCAATTCTTTCTTCCAAGGCAAGAAGAAATGGATTTCTGCTATTTCTGCTATTACTTTCAAGACTAGCCCGAGGCTTCTACAACTTGGATCTATAACCAAGCATATAACTGGACATATAAAGGTGCCTGTGTAGTGTGCAGAGGCAGGATGAATGAGTACTGGAAACTCACAACCTGGAAGTAATCAGCATGTTTTAAGCGCACACATTTCCAGGGCCCTGAAGCATGCTGGCTTGGCACTTTTGAAATTTTCCCAGATTATCCAGCACTGTAGAATTCTCCTTTGTCTTCTTTAAGGAGGTGGTACCAGCACAGGTGGTACCCAGACCCTGTTCTCTGGAAGGTCTCCTGAGGGAGCAGAGGCTGTTTCAGGGCAAAGTCGACCTCTTGTTTAAAACTATTGAACTGGGCCACGTTGGTATTCCTTGGTCTATGCTGGTTGAAACAGTGTGTGCTAGAACAATGTGTTCTGATTTCAAGAGGAGGGGAAAAGCCTATTAGATGCCAGTGAGGTGATAAAAATGTTTAAGTTTAGTGAGTTTGTAGTCATTCTAAGTAAATCTATATCTCATCTATGATTTTCTAAAGCTTAACATTCTTTCCCTTTCTCCCTAGTGCTCTTCTTATATTAAAGCAGTAACCCACCTGAAATTTATTGCTGATAAAAAGGGAGATGGATGTTTATACATGTACATTTCTATCTGGATACATTAAGTATTTTAAATTAATCAACCGTTGTTTCCCCCATTGATTATATTTTTTAATTAGCACTAGAGGCAAAGCCTACCAATTTATTTTCAATGTAATGGCTTCTATTTGCAAAGGGTGGAGTTTCAATATAAACTGTGATAGTTTCTGCATTAGTTTTCTGTGACTGCCTCTAATAAATTACCAGAAGCTTAGTGGCTTAAAACAACACAAATTAGTAACCTTACAGTGCTATAGTTTAGAAGTTTGCTGTGGGGCTCGGTGGGCTGAAATCAAGGTGTTGACAAGTCTTCTGCAGGCTCCTGGGGGAAATCTTATCAATTGCTTTACCCTTTTCATCTTCTAGAGACTGTTCTTGTCCTTGACTTGTGCTCTTCCATCTTCAAAGCAGGCTGTATCCTGCGCACACTGCTATCTCTCTGGTTCTAACTCATTTGCCTCCCTCTTCCACCATTCCATCAGGAGACCACCTGAACACATTGAGATAATCTCCCTGTCATGTTAATTACAAGGTCACAATTCCCTTGCTAAGTAGCCTAACCTAGTCATAGGTTTTGGGATACGAACATGATGTCTTATGGAAGTGGGGGGGATTTCTTTACCTACAGTAATCTTATAAGTAAACCTGTCATCTTTCCGTATCTTCTGGAAGTGACATAATCAAATCAAGTCAAAACTTCTATGCTTTGTGTTTATGGTATGATGTTTATGGTTGTCCCAAAAGGTTGAGTATATAATTCCCCTCCATTTGGAAATGACTTTCAGAGAAATGGGGGTTTGGGTAGGACTAAGGGACTCAACTGTGTAGCTGTGTGGCAGGCCATTTTCACTGGGATTCCAAATTAGGACCTGCCTCTGAAGGGTGTTGATGATGACAGGAGCTAGATCCTAGAACTGTTCTGACAGACATAAAATCCTGAAAAGTGTACATGACGGAAGGAAGGAAGTCGGTACATGATCTGCCCCAGTGAGCCTGAGGCACTTGAGTGGGTTAAACCACCAAGAACCACCATTTAAGAATTAAAAACTTCCCTCCTAAAAATACAAATTTCAGGAAGAGAATCAACAAAGTGAGAGAGGATAAAATAGCCCATTTCCATTCTAAATCAAAACTTTATTCCTATCCCATAAGATAAATCATTTTAATCTCTGTTCATGTTTATCTTGTTTTTCTTTTCCTCTTCTCTGATGTTTGTTATGCTTTGAGTAGATATTGATTCCCTTCTCATTAAGCCTACAAACATCTAATCATTCCTGTCTGTTTGATTTTTTCATTTTTGATAATTTATATTTAAGTCTTGGCAAATTGAATGGCCTAATTTTGCCCTTTGAATGCCTATGCATTCAAGTTCCTTAGGCAGACATTATCTCTTGCTTTTTAAATTCTATTTTTGCGTTTTATAAAAATGGATGGTTCTTATTATCCCCCAACCCATAATTTTCTTTAGTGAACTTTTTGTTTAATTTTCTTTTGCTTTAACATTTTATTTTTCAGACACCTCTCATTGAACCTCACGTTCCTCTTCGTCCTGCTAACACCATTACCAAGGTAATGGGATGTAGGTGGGTTGATGAGCCTTCAGAGCTAGCTTCCTGAGTAGCCAGTGGACGTGGTCCATGTCTCAGAACACCAGCTCAGGAAACCCTGGATACATTTCCTAAAGACAATAAACATTCAGTGTTTCTGGATTCTCAGCACAAAACCGTGACACATCACACAAGTGAATAATGTAAATGTATGAGTGAGTTGTATTTTTCAAGCCAGAGTCATATTGGAAAATGATTTAAGGATTAAGGGTAAGATTAAGGAAACAGCTTTTTGTTTTTCCTTCTATAATCTCTCCTTATTTCTCTTCCCCTCCTTCTACCCAATTAAAATTCAGGTCCCATCAGAGAAGATCCTCAGAGCTGGAAAAATCTTACGAAATGCCATTCTTTCTAGAGCACCTCATATGATAAGAGACAGAAAATATCACCTAAAGACATACAGGTATGTACAATAACTCTAAAGTTTCTAGCCCCCTCAAAGTCATGATTAGTGAAATTAGAGCATCTTCTGTTTTCATCTATGAGGCAGCATTTCTTATTTATATTCCTCCAAGTTCTGCAAAGTCTAAGCTTGTCTTGAATCACTGCTTAACTTTAATTATCCTTACTATTTCCAGAAGTTATTCCTAAACTAATTTTCTTGGACATTGGTTTAATTGTGATGACTAAAAAGAAGAAAATTCTTATATTTCCATTGGTGTCTTTGAGGAAAACTGCTAGACTGAGGTCAGATTTAATTAACTTTTACTGAGCATTTATTTATTCTTGAAACCATGTACCAAGTCACTTTCCAGATGTCACCTCATTTCATCTTCACACACCCTGCTGGGTCGATGTATGGCCATTTTTTTTTCCCATATGATAAAACTAAACCTCAGAGAGATTAAATAATTTTCCTTGTTCAAGTCACAAATCTAATGCATGGTATAGCTAGAATTTAAACCAAGGTCAATCAATTTCCAGATCCAGCGATATTTTCATTCATTCATTCATTCCCAAATGTGTTAAGCACCTTTGCACCAAGCACTATTGTGAGCCACGCCCTGATATTACCGCAGTGATGTCCTTTGTGGAATTTCTAATGTAGAATTTCATTCTGGTGTGCATTATAGTAAGATTCACCACTGTATCACATCTATAATCATATAGAAAAAGGACTCAATCTAGCTATAGTATAGCTATCAATAAATTTAAGAAATGATAGAGAGAGATTGGGGCTGCATGATTTCATTGAACTTATGGGATGAGTGAACCATGGTGGATCAACTAAGGAGTCATGTCTAATCTTTAATTTTTGTTTCATCAATTCATTCAGTATTTAGGAATTAGAATGGCCTATATATAATATACAGGCCTTCACTCTCCCTGCATTCATAGTTCAGATGCATAGCCCTCTTTCAGCAAGCAGGCAGACTCTTTGATTTCACCTAGACATGACCTCAGAACCCATCAGAAATGGCATGAGTAAAAACCCATTTGATTCACATGAACCAAATTCATAAGGAACAGTGAAAAGCTCTAATACAAATTTTAAAGTCACTGTGCAGGATATTTATTTTTCAGTGGCTATCAACTGTGATAAAACCTGAAAAATTATACCTGATTCACCCTATAGCAAACCTCCAAGAATATGTGCATCACAATCATCTCTTCCCCAAGGACAGTGTTGTAAAAACATTGAAAATTCTCCCTCTTCAGGTCAGTTATTCTGCATTCCCTGCAAACTAGCACTTTTTCTGCTTGCATTTGTCATGAATCGTATATAATACCAAAACTGACAGTTTATCAGTTACATTTAGATTGTCTCTCTTTGATAGACTTTTGACAATGAGATGGGATTTGAGAAGCACTTTGGTCTAATCGGTGACATAGTTCCTCCTAGAACACACTCTTAAGACACATTGTTCATCTAGCCCTTTTAATGTTGATATTTACTAGTTAATATTTTGGGTGATTACATTGGGAAATATTCTCCTCCAGCCCTGAACATTCATTCATTTTGGAGTTTGTGATCCCTGCTATCATTTTAAGGGCAGTAAAAGTTAAAAAAAAAAAAAAAACAACTGTGTCTCATGTCCCCACTGAGATTTCAAACTCTTTTTTTTTTTTAAAGATTTATTTATGCATATAAGAACTGGGATACAGGCCAGAGGTGTAGGGGGTGAGAGGATTCACCAGAGACAGAGTGGGGAACAGAACAGGCAGAATGACTGAAATACACTGCTGAGGGGAGCAACAGGAGAGTCAGGAGAAGTCTGCTGTGCCATGTGGGTAGCTCCCTGGCCGGGAATTGAACTCACGCTTCAGTGGCTGCAAACAGCTCCATAGGCTGTGTCTTAACCCCTTGCGCCACCAGGGAGGCTCAGTTCAAACTCTTTAACTCGTTAAATGGACCTCAAATCCAGTATGGCTAAAGAACCTTTTCTTTCAAAAATTTTTATCATCTTTTTCCTTAATTTAAGATGTAATAATGCTTTCCCAAGTTGACTTGCTTTAGGAAAATTCTATTAAAATATGTCATCTTTGGTGGCAAGTAATGGAAACTAGAAGTCAGAAACCATAATCTCCTTCTTGTTCCATAGTACTAAGATTTTAAACCCCTGTATTATAGGTGTTATGTCTGTTCCACCCTATGACACAAATTAATGATCTGTTGGTAATAACCCATGGATTTAACTGGAAGCCAAAGGCGTGCTTTCTTTTTCCGGCAGGACAGCTTGTGTTCCTTGTCCCAGATCTTGTAAATTCCATCCTCCCTCCCTCCATCTCCTCATCCCATTATATCATTCCACAGCAAAGTGTTAGAGTTGACATTCCCCCAAAGGTACTATCACCCACAATGATCACTATGCTGGAGCTATGCATTTGATTCTAAAGGGATCTTTAGTGGAGAGGAGACCCCGTGATTCCACGAGCTGCCAGCAGCATGTCTCTGCCCTGTGTTGTAACTGCAGATCCTTATACCCTATGCGAGGACCCAGTTTCTTTGGGATCATCTCGATTCCATGTGCTCTCTTTGGTAAAGGGAATCCTTGAATTGAAAGCCATATGAAATTGATTGTTTATACTTTTGTGAACCTTTTTCCATTAACAAACTGTTAGATTAGAAGAGGGTTATTTTGACAGGTCCTGAGTTTGAATGTTTCATAAATAGGTGTCTCTTTGCTCTCTGAAACTCTAGTGTGAAGGTATAGGAGAAGCCCTGGAAATCTAATGGCCTTCTCAGTACATCTTTCTGTGAGATATTACAGGGTCAGACCCAAATCAGGACTTCCCAGGAGCTCTCCCATGAGTTCCTGGAATTTCAGAGTTGCTGGAATATTTGAACTGGAAATGACCGAACACCATCTTTTCCACCTGCTTTCTTTTAAAGATGAGGAAACTGAGGACTAGGAGTTGAAATGATATGAACAAAGTCATATAGCTAATAAGTAGCAGATCTGGTGCTCGATCCCATCTCTTTGCAGCTTAAACCTCTTCCCAGAGTGGCAAAGCACCAGGAAACTCCTCTACTTTAAACTAAAGAGGAGGTCCCCAGGTTCAATCTAGGCTCAGTCTACACTCCAGAGATGGTGGCACCTTAGCATAGAAGGAAGGCTTTGTGTGACTCAGACCCAGCTGCAGGCAGCCAGCTGCTCTATGACTCTGCTGTCTTTCCTCATTCTGAACATTCATCCCGAGGACTTCCAGATTCTACTTCCTCCCTTGAACCATCATGCCATGACACCTATTCTATCACCCCTTGAAGGTTTCAGTATTGCCTAATATGTATGTATGTAGTTATATGTCTCCTAACTAATGCATGTGCTTAGCCCATCCTGACCACCTTACTGCACCGGGGCAGCTGAGGGGTGAATGTGTGACTGCACAGAAAGCCAAGAGCACTTGGAGCTCTTCACATGACAGGCGCTGTAGAAGCGCTAATGCTCATTACATAGAACTTTTTTTCAATGAGATTTGCATCTCTAATTGCTTGTTTCTCCCAACACCCCTCTGAGGAAGATCAGTAGTATTACTTGAAAATATAAAGTGCTATATAATTTTGCACTTATACAGCGCCTTTCACAGAGCACCTCTGAGTATCTCACAAACATTAACTCATTCCTCACAAGGCTCAGGTGAAGGAAATCAGAGCTTTGCTTTGCCTTCATTTTACATTGAGATTTTCCAGAACTGGCTCAAGATGAGACATTCTCAGACCCCGTGATTAGCTTATCAGACCCTCTAGTGACCCTTCCTTCTCCCCTGGTTCTGCACCTTGTAATGTTCTTCTGTTTAGCCAGCTTTAGGAGGTTGTCTCAGGAGCTGAGTGATTTTATTGGTTTGCAGAAGAGGTTGAGAACCCGAGGCCATACCATGCAGTACTTTGTTTGCAGTGAGACCTCTTAGGGGGAAGAGTGCTAACTGTCTAGAAGGATCTCTCAAAAGCCAGCCTCCACCCTTCATCTGCAACAAGGTGATTCCCATATTTTGTGTCCCACCTCCTCTTAGACAATGCTGTGTGGGAACCGAGCTGGTGGATTGGATGATGCAGCAGACCCCATGTGTTCATTCCCGCACTCAGTCCGTTGGCATGTGGCAAGTCCTAGTAGAAGACGGTGTTCTCAACCATGGTAAGATGAGCCACAGTCCCTGGAAAACCCTCAAGAAATGCTAAGTGCATTTCCCTGGGTAAGTCGTTGCTGAACTCACAAATGGGCAAGAAGAATTATGAGCCCTTTAGGGACCTCCAGAGATAGCGTCTTCATTTAGCAACACAAATGCTGCGAGTGAATGCTATTGATTGCTGTGTTCCACCATTGTACCTTCCTAACTTTGGAAAATGTATGAAGGGAAGATGAAATTGCAACCCGAGTGTATCAGTTCCAATTATGTTTATTAGTTTGCATTCACAGTTCATTGATAGTGTGATTATACTCAGTATTGCATAGCAGTCGTGATGCAGGGGCAGAATGAAGAGCGATGAAATGTGTGGCTGGGCTGATGACATGAAAAAAAGTGATGAATTCAGAAGCTGCCGTTTAACTGTGGTGTTGTCTGGGAGAGCCAATTTGTATACCCACAGAATGACCATATTTAAAATCAGGAATGTGCTCTGCAATTGCAGCCCTCGATATCTTCAGGGACTATAATTGAGCAGAGTAGTCATTCAGGACAGGAGTGTATCTGTGGTTGAACTACTCATGCCATTTATTTTAAGACTATTTTCCAAACCGACAAACTATTAAAATCATTTATTTAATTTAGCAACACCTGAGACTCCAGTGACAGTTTTACCAGTGTTTCTATGCTTCAGAGTGCATACAGATTGCCTGGGCCTCTTGCAAACATGCAGATTCTGATTCAGCACCTCTGGGATGGGCCCTGCCAGTCTACATGTCCAGCAAGTTCCCAGACGATGCTAGTGCTGCTGTGCCAGGGGTCACATTTTAAGCAAGGACACACTACTTCTCTTCATCTCTTGACAGTGTTGATGCTCCATCCTGAAGAAGGGCTTAAAACTCTGAAGACATACAGATGAGAGATTCTGAACAGAATTCAGTGATCTTGTCCTACCAAGATCTAAATCTTTTTGCTTAAAAGGAACAAGAGTAAAAAGCTTTTTAAAATCAGAACTGGAAGGAAATTATTATGAGATCTAAGGGTCTATGACCTAGAAGCTTGGTCTGGTCAGCATTGTTCAAACAATTTCTTTAAGTGCAGACAGACACGGTTATAAATGGTACATGTTGAAAGAAAAACATGAATTCTGATTCTGACAAACCTGGTATTTTTTTAAGCCTGTGCTTTCAGAAAGAGCATGATATGGGAGTTGGTTATTTTCGTCTTTGCGACATAGGTACCACATCCTAGAAAATGTCACCAAAACAATTTCTGCTGGTCAAAGTGCTCATCTCAGAAAAGTTGGCAGGTCTCCTTAATGGAGTCGCAGGGCGGCCCAGGGGACGGGCGGGTGGTGGTTGCTGGGGAGGTCATGTCTTCCAGCTGCACGGCCCTGGGCGAGGCGGCTGAGAAGGGTGAGGAGTCTCACTACTGTGCTGCCACTTGGCTGTCTTGACCAGCACCAAACACTTTTTGTTTCTGGTAACCGGGGCCGTGAGGCAGAGGTGCACTGGCTGACACTCGCCTCCATGTTTCCTGCAGTGGACCAGGAGCACCATTTCCAAGACAAATATTTATTTTATCGATTTCTGGATGACGAGCACGAGGATGCCCCTTTGCCTACTGAGGAGGAGAAGAAGGAGTGTGACGAGGAGCTCCAGGACACCATGCTGCTGCTGTCACAGATGGGTCCCGATGCCCACATGAGGATGATCCTCCGAAAACCGTGAGTAAGAGCATAGGGCACAGGCCCCGCTGGTCACTGGGGCGCGTGCGCGCATACGGGCAGACCCAAATGAGGTTGATTCAAAAAAAACCTGGCCTTCACCCCCAGCCAGAGGAGAGAGAGAGACCCTGAAGAAGTAGCACAACAGTGTTTGTCTCTTTTTTATTTTATTTTTGAACCAGAAGATTCCATTTCCCATCTGCATAAGCTAAAACTATGGAGTCTTTTAGCAGTTGGCTTAAGATGTCAAAACTGATTCCACGTATGAAATAACCTTTGGTCAATGACAAACAGAAACTGCTCTGATTCTCTGCCAGACCACACCTGCCTCTTCTTTGTAATGCAATATGTCAGCAGTAGGCAGAACCCTAGCCCTCATGCCTGTGCTTGCATCCATTCATTCTTCCATTCATTCATTCATTCAGAATTCCCTTTCACCAAATTCTAAGCCCTCTGCTCAAAGACACGTTTTTAGTTTTTAAGAGAGCACCACTGCTCCATTCACCCCTTGACTCCTCCATTCAGCCCCTGAAGTGCTCTTTCCCCTTCTTCTCAGCTGAGTCCAACCTGATCTCCAGTCGCAGCCCATTAGTGGAATTGAGGAATCAATTTAATCGGATCAATGCAGAAAGAATTTATTGAGCCCCTCTTCTATTCAGTGTACTCTACTAAATTGCTGTAAGACATTATAGCACAGTCTAATCTCAAGCCTTTTTAATAAGGGATGACTTGGCACTTGGTTCTGAAACCACCACACAGGCTTATGTTTTTCTGTTGGGAATGAGATCGCCCTCCACCCTGCAGCCAGTGCCAGCCAGCTGTGGCCGTCTACTCTGAGTCACTGGCTTGGCAGACCTCCATTTATTGGTGGGTCTCGACAAGAGCGTTCAACTTTACGTGTCTGTGTCAGCTGGGCGTTTTCCAAGAGTGAGGTGTCCCACAGAACAAATTCCCCCAAGTCTGCCTCGCATACCACCTCAAGTAGCCCTCTGAGCCCTCCTTTATTCCTTCCCCCAGGGTTTCCCCTCTTCCGCTGGCCTTTATCCAGTGCTGTTACAGCCTTTCAACATACTTCACTCTTGTCATCCCATGTACTCTTTGTCTAACGTTTCTTTTGAGTCTTCATATCCCACACCAGGGGTTTCAAAGGCCTCTCTCCATCCAGTTGGTTAACAGTCTTAAACTCTAGAACCTTGGTTTTCAGCTCTTTTAGCCTCAAAACGGTTTTCTTCAAACAAAACATTTACTGGTAAGTACAAAATGTCAAACAGAAAAGCCAGAGCTTCACTCACTTACTCATAAGTAGGGTCCTCCCTGACAAATTTGTGATCTCTTTGCCCTGGAAGATTGTAGAAGTGGTGAGGGGATACAGGAAGAGCCCTTGGGCTTGGGGAACTCAAATGAACATCACCATTCTGAGCCATGCTTTCTCTCCTATCAGAGTGCTTTCCTGCTCTCTCCACCCCTTTGTCCCATTGTCCATCATCTATACTTTCCTCATTTCCTGGATTCCCTCTCTCTCCCCTTTGCTGCCTTCCTCGCTCAAGCTCTTACTGCACAGTGGTTCTGAGTCAGAGGTGGGAGAGGCCCTAGGGGACTTTGGGAACATGTTAGGATACTGGGTTTTCATGGTGTATGAGGGGCTGCACTGATGGCATTTGGCAGTGGCTGGGATCAAGGGATGTTAAACCTACCCCAATATCTAAAACCCTACAAAATAAGGAGCTGTCCTGAAAAGATTGCCCCTGCTGAGAAACATTGCTGTAAGCTATGAGTCACTTAAAGGGAAAGACGTATCTCATTTTACTTTGTTTTTAATCATTTATTCATTTAACCAACATTTTTGGAATACCTATTTTGTTCTAGATAGTATGTTAGTTGCTAAAACTGCAGCACTGAACTTGAAGTTTGCACCTCCTTCCTGTCTAGTGCAGGAGACAGACCTGAATATAAAGTGGAGAGGGGTATTCAGCCTGGAGTGGAAGTTAGAGAAGGCCATGTTCTAGCTCCATGCATCATGCTGATAGACCATTAATAAACCTTTGCTGAGTGAATGAAGAAATGGATATACAGCCCCAGCTAATGTTCTCTCAATTCAGTTGCTTCAAGGAAGGCAGAAGTACCTTTGGACTCATAAAGATTTTGAACAAAGATTTTGAGCATCTACCAAAGAGGTTTTTCATTGTAAAAATGTAATAAAATGGTTATTGACTTTGGGGAGTTTATAATCCAATGAGAGAGGCATTCCAAATCAGATTGAGATGCAGCAGACATGTATTGAGTGCCTGCTGTACACCAGGCACCAGGCTGGAATATTCATGCCCATCATTCAAGCACTCTTACAAGAGCCTGAGGGCAGTTTTTTTGGTTACCCATAGAAATTAGAACTTGTAATTCTGCTGCCTTTTTCTTCCATACAGCATTGAATTGCATGGTCCTTAGCAGCCCAAAGATTCTTCACAGAAAATTACGTTCCAAAGACATGACTTTTCCAGTCTGTCACTGGCCATTAAAGTACAGGTTCCACCAGTATTCCATGATACATCATTTTGGGTGCTCTTGGAATTTTCCCCATCTCCCCAGGTTTTATGAACCTGTAAACACTGGCACTTGGGGGCTAGAGTTCTTCTTTTACTCAGTATTCATAGTTTTTCTTCCTTCTGGAGTGACAGCCCCCAAGAGATGGGAAAGCGAAAAATAAGAAATCTAATTTTATGAGATCTATTTTCAAACTGTACACACACACACACACACAAACACACACACACACTTTTGTATATATTGTTTGGAGCTCCTACTTTAAGTGGAAAGAAAATAAACTTAGCTGATCAAGAATTGTCAATACCATTGCTCTCCTTGAAGAGACCAGCTGAGAATTTGAGAATTTGAGGGCATGTTCAAAGGTCCTGGAAATGTTGACTTTTTACTGCCCAAACTGCCAATTCATTAGAAAATGGAGAAGCATGAGATGCACTGGTTCCATATCGACCAGGGCAGGACCCCCCAATTTTTAAGCTCAGCACAGCTGCATTTTATAATAGTCACCACTGCCAGAGAGGTTGCAGAACTCTGATAATTACTGGGAAAGAAATAACACAATATTCTTTGATGAGAAGATTACTTTGAGAATTTGATTGTATAATGAAGATGTTGCTTTGAAAGGTACTTCCTATTGTTCTGAATCCGAGACTCGCTAGCAAAAAAAAAAAAGTGTCACTTGTTTTGACAGGCTACTTAGAAAAATTCTCTGTTTATTACATTAACTGCAGCATTTTAACTGTCAAACTATGAAAGAATGTTCTGTAGTTTAAAAAACAGAATAGAGCTTCAGGGGGAAATTTTTGGCACACTCTTGTTGCTATTGGTATTGAAAAAAAAAACATACATTCTGAATGTGAAATTAGCTTTTTATTTGGTGGCAGGCAGAGTGACTCACAATGCCTGTCCTGGTTTCGCAGGTGCAGACCTGGATGGCATTTGGGGGCAAGTGCTATAGAATGGTGACAGCTTGACGGCACTGTTGTTGCAGCTCCCAGACAGGGCCATCAAACCTAAAATGAGCTCGTGGAGCTTATTGTTTTGATTTTGCTTTGTTTATAAGTCTAAAAACAAGAGGTTGCCCTGTAGCTAGTAGATATCATGAAGACCCTTCCCAGTAGATGCATGCATTCTGGCTACCTCTGAGCAGGTACTCTGAGTAAGGCCATCAGCAAAGACATGTAGAGTGACTAGGTAGGCAGTGACAGGTAAACTTGAGATCAGTTAGATAAAAAGAAATTCAAGGAGACAAATTCAAGGCCTGCCTTACAGGCCTCCCAAACTCTTTTTTTTTTTTTTTTAAAGATTTGTTTATTTGTTTGTTTGTTTGTTTATACAAGCACTGGGTACAGTCAGAAGCGCAGGAGGGTGAGAGAATTCACCAGAGCCAGAGTGGGGAGGAGAGCAGGCAGAAGGACCGAAGTACACTGCTGAGGGGAGCAGCAGGCGGCAGGAGAGGTCTGCGCGCCATGTGGGACCTTCCTCCGGTGGCCGGGGAGCAGCCAGGGATCGAACCAGCACTGCAGAGGCTGCGGGCAGCTTCGCAACCCAGCGCTCAACCACTGCGCCACCAGGGAGGCCCCCAAACTCTTTTTTAAAGAGGTGTTTAGAATGGTCTATTGGAGACCAACCTAAAGGTGGGAGGGAAATCAATTAGATGCTATTTCCTAGATCTAATTCTAGTTAGATTTGCAATTATGAATTACCCTAAAAGTCTAGAATCTTAAGTAGTTGCAAAAGAGATAAGTAGGTTGGGCCTTAGCAAATATGTGTGTAGATGCACGTGTGCATACATATGTGTATTCTGTATATATACATATGTATACATATAAACGAATTATTGGCATGTTCCTGTCTTTTAGATGGGTTGGAAACTCAGAAACTTGAGTTCATTTATTTCATAGGATTAGTTAATATTTTCTAACATATGCTATAATTTTAGATGATCAAATAGTATGAGAAGACTTGGAGGGGAGGGTCCCTCCTTGTGTATCAGTTGGCTGCATTGATAGCCCCACCCGCTGTTCCACACACTTGCTGTAGAGGGCACCTGAGAAGCTGTGCAGTTTCTCTTAGTTAGCAGAGCCTGTTTGAGCAGGCTCTTTATCTGTTCAAGGTTTTTTTTTTTTTTTTTTTTTTGGTTTTTCTTTTGAGAGTGTGAAATTTGAAATCCTGATAATTATAGGGAAATTTGCTTCCTTAGAGGAACCCAAATTAGCAAGCCTAAAATTGATGAAGCCTAGGGTTTGGGTTCCTGTTGGGATATGCCAAGGGAAGGCTCAACATCATGAAGTCCATCTTCAAATGTAAATAGAATGAAAAGAGGCATGATGAAAGAGCTGAATCTTTATGAAATAAGAAATTCACTGTGAATCTTGTGCTTCAGTGAATGCCAAATTTGCCTTTGTTTTTCCTGGAAAGATTGCTGTGCTCCAAGTGAAAGCTCATAAAATTTACCAGAA